CAAAGGAATACAAGTACGGTCTAAACATCCCATTCATCAAGTTCATAAAAAGTTGTTAGTGCATTAATCAGCCTTAAAGACATCATTAGAAACTCATAATGACCATAACATGTCTAAAAAGCTATCTTAGGGTCTCTCTAACCTTTATCTAATGATAATTGGATCTCAAGTCAATTTTGGAGAAACCTAAAACTTCCTAAAGCTTATCATATGAATCAATACGAGGTATCAAGTACTTATTTCTGATGGTAACCTTATTCAAATGATGATAATAAATACACCTACGTATATATCCATCCTTCTACTTCACAAATAACACTGGAGCACCCTACAGAAATACACTCAGCCAATGAACTATTTGCTTAACAAATCCAATAACTGATCTTTCAACTCATTCAATTCTAATGTTCCAAACCATAAAGAGGAATGGAAATTGGCTAAGTGTCTTGTTATAAGTCAATGAAAACTCAATATCACGATCAGGTGGAAGGTGGAAGAACTTATATAGGTCAGTTGGAAATACCTCTAAAAGCTCACTCACCACTGAAATAGACTTAATCATAAGAATCTTTACATTAGTGTCTCGGATACGCACCAAGTAAGCCAAATATCCTTTCTTCACTAAGAGACGAGCCTTAATGAATGATATCACCCTTTTGAACTGTTACTAAGAAAATCTCTCCACTTTACTATAAGAATTCTAGGCATAACTAATGTAACTGTCTTAGCATGACAAATTCAAAATTGTGTGGAAAGAAGATAACACATTCATCCCAAGAATAACATCAAAATCTAGCATATATAAGACCTTCAAACCCACTTGAGTATCATATCCCTTCAAAGTAACTACATACGATCGATATACTTGATCTACCACTATGAAATATCCAATAGAAGTAGAATCATGTACATGCAAATAAAGTGACTCACATACCATATCCAACTTGAATAACAAATCCGCTAGCCCTTATACTACTCAAATCCCTCACATCGATTCATCTCTAAATCTTTGGAAGCATTTATGACTTTTTGAAATTGAACACCAGAAGCAACAACTTAAGAAACTGTCATGTGACAAAAAATAATCAAACCTTTGAGAAATATTCTAACTCTCTCAGCCTCGATAGGAAGTTACATTGAAGCGTGTCTAACTAAGACATAGAATTTAACCTCATATTTAATGACTGGCATATCCTCTTGTTGCAAACCCTCAAATTTAGACCTCTCACACCCCCTCTCATTGTGTGAAATAAACCACCTGAGTAAACTGAGTCAATGAGAGTGGAGATTGTAACACCTCAACCTTAGAAAAGGATAAATTTAGAAAAACTAATTTAAGATTTGTTCAAGTTAAGCTTAAGTTGTGAGTTTTGGGTCCACTTCAAATGATTATAACGTTCAGTACATGATGATTTAGGTGGCCTTTAAGATATGAAATGCAAAGGTCTTTGAATCCTCTTTCCAATGGCACCGAGTTTCCTAAGTTTTGAGTTCAAATGAGGAGATATGCCCGTTTGAAGTCAGCCTGTCCAGATAAGGAAAGTTACCCAAATTAATAAGGGTTATTTGGGTCTTGCTCTTACCCCATCAGCTTTAATGCGTTGTTGTAATATTTAGGGTCAAAATGATTTGTTAGTTTTCATAAATCCTAAATTACGCTTAGGATTTAGGAAGAAGTTCAAGAAGAGGAAAAAAGGAGAAAACAAGAGAGGTTCAAGGCGTTCGTCAAGGTTCTTGAGAATTGTCGAGGAATTTCGCCAAGGGTTTGATTCCTAAGAGGTATGTAAGCTTCCATAGTGATGGTTCATTCACCCACACGCCAATCATGATTTACATTATCGAATTCATCCATAAGATTGAGAAATTTAAGTTCTTGATGAGTGTTCTTGAAGTGTTGCCCTCCATTCTTGAATTTTGATGTTTGGTTGAGTTGTTGAGGCGAGGATCCTGTTAATGAGTGTTGTTCTTCAAAGTTTTCAAGTAGATTCTCATGTAATTAAGTTGGGTAAACTAAACTAAGTGTGTTTGGAAGAAACCATTTGATTCTAGGCGAATTAGGGTCAGAAAATGAGAAACAAAAATCGTTGGGTTTTCTAGGCAGGGGGCTGGCTGGCGCACCGCGCCAACAGTGCACCAGGAAGATTCCTCTGAAATTTAGGGGCTAGCACCCTGCGCCACTCAGTGCGCCAGGGTCACCTGCCCCCATCCTTTTTCTGCCGTTTAACCCGTCTGAGTTCTTTTACAGTGTAGCTTCACTCTTTTCTGATTCTAACTACTCTAAAGTACATCTAAGCATCGAGAGATCCTACATAACATGAATCATAACCCTTGAATTCATAATTCAAATTCAAGGTAGATATAAGAGTAAAGTCTTGAGATTTCTTTTGAGTCATTTCGAAAATTCTTTTACAATCTTTTTAAAGCTTGCTTTAAGACTTGAGTACTTGAGTTCGAGGATGAGGAGAGTTGAGTTCATTTTCAAAATGAATATATGGGAACTAAGTAGACGAGTTCATACAACTCAAAGTCCTCATAAACCATGTAGTCAACGTGGGTAGAAAGGGTCATACTTTTTAGATGATTCCTTATTGCTTTTAAGCATAGCTTAGTGAATCCACTTAGTTAAGGATGTCTTATACTTCGGCAACGTATAACATAGTTCTGGCAGCGTGGGCGAGACGTTGTATCATCATATAACTTATAGTGATAGTTTTCGATTAGACAATCTCTCAAATTGAGTTATTTTGTATTTATAGATACATTGAGTTGTTATCTACTATTTTAAATGCTTTATATAAACTTCATCTTCATTGTTGTTTTTATATTGTATTGACTTAAGTATCCATGTGTTGAGGTTGAGTTGAGTAGAGTTGACGTGAGTATGTTTCCTTATTTTTAAGTTCAAGCTTTGATGTTACGTTCAACGTTCCCATGCTCGTATATTCAATGTACTGATGTCATTTGGCTTGCATCATTTCATGATGCAGATACAGGAGATCAGGGTCATCAGCAGGTGCTTCATTGATACCACTTGTAGTTCCAGAGTTGTTTGGTGAGCCTCTTTTCTTTCAGATGATCCCTTATTTATTATTTTAGTTTTGTTAGGATGATCGTAAGTCTTGTCCCAAAATCCCACACGGTATTAGAGGCTTAATAGAAAGACAATAGTAATTGAGGAGTATCTTTTTCATTTCCTTTGTTAATGTGTGAGAGTCGAGTTTCCTTCTTTGGCCAGTTGAATGTTCTTATGCATTTCTGAGTTATTTCCTTTGAGACATTTAAGTTAAAGCTTGTATTTGAGTTTATCTAATGTTGAGTAAGTCTTCTGCTGAGAGTCGAGCTAGGTCAAAGGTTCGCTTGGGCCAGCAATGATTTTCAAATGCCGGCCACGTTCAGGGTGTAGGCTTGGAGCATGACAGAGATGATCCAGTTGACCTACTATTAACGTAATATCTCCATCACTAATTGATAGGGCCAATATTATAAAAATGATGTATAGTTAACTCCATGGGACTCCACTAATTCAAGATTGGGCAACCTCTCATGACAGCTAACTATAAATTCATATTCATCCTCAGTTAAAGCACCAATATAAGTTGGAGGATTCATCACTCTAAACCCTCCGAACATCTTTGCTCATCAATTTTGAGTTGGAATAGAGTTCTAACCTCTCTTATTCTTCTTCTTTCTTCTTTGGTTATTCACCATTAGCTTCATTGATAAATTTATTTATTGCACTCTTCATTTTCTAGAAAATATTTTATTTTAATATTTTATAATTTTTATATGAATATGAGTGATCATAATATAAGCTATTGGTTTTGAGACTAATACAGGCTTGAATTGAAATAAGTATTATTTCATCGTAATTTTGTTCGTTTGTTTTTATAAAAATAAATACATCCAATTACATAGGTGAAAAATGAAAAGTCACCTTTTATTGAGAGGGTTAGTCAATCATTTTAGCTTTTAAATGCTCATTTTTGTTATCATTTTTATATTATCATGTTATTTAAATGAAGCTCATGCTTTCCAACTAAATTTGTGGAATTGAGATACCTATTTTGATGGATGTGATTGATTTGAGTTTAATTTTTCGTGATTTTAGGAATTTTGGAAGGAACATTTATTTAGTTAATGGTATTTTGATAATTAAAGAAATGAAATGTGTTGACTCTCGATTTCAGGAAAAAATATGTATTTATGTCATTGATTTCAAATATCTCCCTCAATTTAAACATGCAACATATGAGAAAAATATGTATTGTATTTCAAAAATCAAGAATACAAAAGAGTGTAAAAAATTAATATGATATATATATATAGTGGCGAAGGCAGGATTTTCATTGAGGGGGTTCAAAAAAAATAAGTACACACGCTAATAGTTGAAGAACTAAACGCAACAGGAAGCTCAATAATCAAAAGACAAATAACAAGGAAGAAGAAAGAAAAGAGAAAACAGTGAAAACTATTTTGCAGAGAAGGAGTTGCAGAATATTTTATGTAATACGTTCAGTGGCCTAATATAGGCTTACAAAATTCGTGGAATCATAATCCTACTAAACTACTTTCCCTAAACTCTAGGAAAACAAATTTGCACTAACTACAACTAGGAAAATATCAGGAACTAATTAAATAACAAAGTGACAACTATCGGCTAGAAAATAGCTATTGCAAGACTTAGTCAAACTAAAAAAAATATGCTGATGTTGTACGACTTTAACACCTCCTCGCGACATCAGCTCTAGTCTTAGCAATGCCTAGCTCCTGACGAAAACTTTCAAACTTATTGGCACATAGGCTTTTTGTAAACAAGTCTGCAATTTGTTGTTCTGTTTTAATATGCTCTAAGTTGATCTCTCCTTGTAACACTTTTTCTCTGATGAAGTGGTAATGTATTTCCATATGCTTAGTCCTTGAATGAAAGACGGGATTTTCTGCTAAACGGATTACTGACTGATTGTCACAGAACAAGGAAATTGCATAGCCAACTAGTTGATTTAAATCCTTCTCAGCAACATAAGCCATGAACTTTCTTGAGCTGCAACTACTGCAGCCCGATACTCAGCTTTTGTTGTTGACAGCAACACTATTGGCTTCCTTTTGCTGCACCAAGAAACTGCTCTAACTCCAAGCTTAAACACAAATCCAGTAGTTGAACGACGAATATCATGATCTCCTGCATAGTCAGAGTCGCAGTAACCAACCAACTTACATTCTTCACTTCTTTTATACAGAAGACCATAATCAATTGTACTTTTCACATATCTTAGCATTCGTCGAGCATCCTCCATATGGTGCTTCTTTGGATTGTGCATATAGCAACTCATCACACGAACTCCAAATGAAATATCGGGTCAAGTCTGAGTTAAATAAATAAGACTTCCTACCAATTGTCGATACTTTGTCATATCTTCTAAATCTTTTCCTTCGTGTGCACACATTTTGACATTTGATTCAATTGGAGTTGCAATTGGCTTGCACTAGGGGTGGGCATAAATACCGGAAAACCAAAAAACCGAACCGAACCAAACCAAAAAAATTCGATTCTTTGGAGTCGGTTCTTCGGTGTTTCAGTTCGGTGTCGGTTTTTTTTCGGAACTTCGGTTCTTCGGTTTGGAGTTCGGTGTAAGGGTCCCGAAACTACGGTGCACCGAAGAACCAAAGTTTTATTAAATAAATTTAAAAGTATTTATTATATTACTTAATTTTTAACTTTACTTGGCCCATTTCAATTTTTATATTTAGATCCTAAACTTAAATAGCAAAAATCTAAATAACAAAATAGTAAACCCTAAAGACCTAAAGTCTAAACTAAACAAAACTCAATTTAATTCAAGTTTGAGCAGCAACTTGGTGTTTCTACTTTCTACTTTATGATTTTATCATTTTATGTTGTTACTTTGAAGTGTGACCAACAAATTGATGTTCTTACCTTTTATTATTAGACGGTTAGTTATTACTTTGAAGTTTGAAGTGTGAAGTGAATAACAATTATTACTTTATCATATTCTCTCTTTATTTTTGTTCACACCGAAAAACTAATTTAAAAACACCGAACTAAACCGAACCGAACCGATCTAGTTGGGTTTGAAATAGGGTGCACACTTTTCTAAAACCAAATACCAAAGAACCAAACCGAAATTTGATTAAACCGAACCGAAGAACCGAACGCCCACCCCTAGCTTGCACTCCAACATTCCAAATTCTTCAACAAGTCTATGAAATACTTTCGTTGATGAAGAAAAATTTCTCCTCGAGTACGATCAACCTCCAAACCAAGAAAATGATTAAGTTGTCCAAGTTCTTTCTTATGAAATTGGACAAATAGATTTTTCTTCGTTTGAATGATTTCTTCTTCATTATCCCCAGTTACAATCAAATCATCAACATATACTAGCACTATAGCTAGCTTCCCTCCATCGAATTTGACAAGCAAACTTGAATCTGCAGATGTAATTAAATAACCACTTTGAGTTAATAATTCAGCAATTTTACTGTACCAGGCCCTTGGCAATTTATTTAATCCATAGAGCGCCTTCCGCAGCTTACAAACAAATCCAGGGTGCTCTTGACTCTGAAACCCATTGGTTGAGCCATGTAAATCTCTTGATCCATCTCCCCATGTAAAAATGCATTTTTAACATCCATTTGCCATAAATTTCAATCTTTGCTAAGACTCGCACAGTTGTAAACTTCGCCACTGGGCTGAAAGTTTCATCATAATCCAAATCATATTCTTGAGTAAATCCCCGAGCTACCAAATGAGTTTTATGCCTCTCCACCAACCCATCTGTGCGGCGTTTTATTTTATAAATCCATCTACATGATATAGGTTTCACATCTTTTAGCTTCGGCACAAGTTCCCAGGTTTGATTAGTTCTAGTGCTGCGATCTCCTCCTCCATTGCTCTAGTCCACACTAAGTTTTGAGCTACTTCTTCAAAGCTTTCAGCTTCTTTTCCAGATTCGTCTTTTATTATTATTGCATTGGCATATTTGGGGTTTTGCCTCCGAACCCATTCTGACCTTCTCGTCTTGGATTGTGGAGTAGCTGGTACTTATCCTTCATTTGTTTCACTTCCTTCACATGTTAGCTGGTGAACAATTGATTTCCCAAAAATACGAGTTGCGCCTTGTTCAACATCGGCGTCTTCACTTGATCAAAAATAAGTAATTTGCAACTTATTTTTTAGATCAGTTTGGTCTGATAATATCTCCTTTTCCGCAGACCACCATGAAGAGGTTTTATCAAATACAACATGTTGTGATATATAACACCTTTCAGTTGTAGGGTCACTACATTTCCACCATTTTCTTTGATTATCATAGCCTATAAGATGCATTTAACAACTTTCTTGTCCAATTTGCTACGTAACTGATCAGGTATAAAAACATAGCATACACATTCAAATACTCGCAAATAACTGACATTAGCTTTCATATTCCACAACTTCTCAAAAGGTGAAATAAAACCTAATCTTTGTTGAGGAAGTATGCTGATGATATATGATGTAGTCCTCATTGCTTCTGCCCAAAATCTTCCCAGGACATTCTTGGCATGTAACATAGTGCTACATATTTCTGCTAAATGCCTATTCTTCCTCTCTGCAATGCAATTTTGTTGTGACATGTAAGCACAAGTATATTGACGGCAAATTCCGCATTCCCTTAGGTATTGAGAGAACTCAACTGAGTTGTATTCCTCTCTGTTATTTGTTCTTAAACAACAAATTTTCTTGCTCATTTCTCCCTCAACTGTTTCTTGAACTCTTTAAACTTAGAAAAAGAATCAGATTTTTCTTTCATAAAGAAAACCCAAACATACCTAAAGAAATCATCAATAAAGGTCACCATCTACTTCATTCCACCAATTGATGATTGCTTGACCGGTCTAAACACATCAGAATGAACTAATTGTAGTGATTCATCAGCTTTAAATTTGGACTCTACAAATGACAACTGGTAAGATTTATCGAATTGGCATCCTAAACAAGCGATGTCTACTCTTACTTCAAGTTGAGGAAGACCCTTGACCATTGACTTCTTCATTATAACACCTAGCTTGGAATAACTCACATGACCCAATCTCATATGCCACAAATCAGCAGTCTCATTAATTTTTGTCTTTTCTACATATGCAGACACTACAAACATCACATAAACGGACTCTAATCTACGCCCCTTCATAATTGGATTTTCTAAGTTCTTGAGATCCTGATAAATCCTCACATCATCAGGACAAAACAAGATATAGTTTCCTGATATTGTTAATTGTGACACTAAAAGCAAGTTTTTCCTCATATCTGGAACGTGATAGTCATTCTGAAATGGTATTTGATTGATCCCTTATTGAAGAGAGATTGTCGTCTTACCAATATGAGCTATCGATAACCTTGAATTATTAGTTGTCACCACAACACGACTACCCTTGTACACTGATAGATCCTGCAACTTTTGTTTATCACCAGTCATATGATTTGCACAACCCGAATCAATGATCCAGTCGTTTTCATGATCAATTGATTCAAATATAGTTGATGAAAGTGCTAAATCCTTCTCTTCTATAGCGAAAAATGCTTCAGCATCCCAAACATCTTCACTTTTCTCGTTGGAATTTGAGGTAGTTGTGTTAATTTCGACGGACTATTTCTTGAACCAACAATCTTTTTCCATATGCCCCTTCTTCCCACAATTGTAACACTTCCCTTCGAATCTTCTATCGTTCTTTTGATTCTTCGAAACTCCTCTTGAACAAAAAAATTCATCTCCATGAAACTGTTCCTTCTTAAACCTACTAGCAGCTTGTTTGATGTTCCTGCTTTTGTTGGTGTAAAGGGCTTCTTCATCATTCTTAATCGAGAGTCCTGCCATTTTCTTCTCCATGGATTCTTGGCCAGCAAGTAAATTTTCAAACTCAACAAGTGATGCTTAATTTGGCCATCCATGTACAACAACAACAACAAAACCTCTATATTCAGATCTCAAACCATGGATAATAATTATTTTTACCCTGGTTTCCCCAATTGGTGCTGTTGAATCCAAATATGAAATTTCACGGCATATTCTTTTGACTTTGTGAAAGTACTGGGCAATTGTCATATCACGTTGCTCTGTTGATAATAAATCGCTCTTCAAAAGTTGTAGCCTTGCATCGTTCTTCTTTGAGAAAAGTGCAGCAAGTGTGTCCCACGCTTCTTTTGGCGTTTTAGCATCACGAACATGCTCCAATACATCTTTGTCGATTGTTGTTTTGAGCGCAAACATTGCTTTGCCTGCTTTGATCTTCTATCTATGCAACATTCCATTGGTATCCTCTGCCTCTGGTTGGGTAACTTCACTTCCATTGACGACTTCCCAAAGATCTTGGCATTGCACATAGGACATTATACAAGTTGCCCATGTATTGTAATTCTGGTTATTGGGCTTTTTTATTCCACCAACTACTTGAAGATCATTCATTGTGCTGGCTCTAATATCAAATGAAGAACTAAACGCAACAGGAAGCTCAATAATCAAAAGTGAAATAACAAGGAAGAAGAAAGAGAAGAGAAAATATTGAAAACTATTTTGCAGAGAAGGAGTTGCTGGTTATTTTATTTAATATGTTCAGTGGCCTACTATAGGCTTACAAAATTTGTGGAATCATAATCTCACTAAACTACTTGCCCTAAACTCTAGGAAAACAAATCTGCACTAACTACAACTAGGAAAATATCAGGAACTAATTAAATAACAAAGTGACAACTAACGACTAGAAATAGCTATTGCAAGACTTAGTCAAACTAAAAAAAATATGTTGATGTTCGACTTTAACAATAGTATCCACATATAAACGAGTCGAATTAGATATAAATAGGTTAGGTCGGATCAGATATAAATGGGTCAGGTCAGATATAAGTAAGTAGATAAAAATCAATTCTAATAGAAAGCAGCAGCGGCAAGCTAAAATGTGATTAAAAACAATGCTACCCGGACTCAAACTCGCGCAGCCGAGAAGATTTCACAGAATCTTAAACCCAGTTCACCACTAAACCAAGCCAAAAAGATTTGACAGAATCTTGAACCCAGTTAACCACTGAACCAAGCCTTTAACTTATACTGAGTGGGGTCATTATTAAATATATACTCGTAAATCAATAAATCGATGATGAAGAGCCCATGGAGTGCACGGACCCAATATTTATTTAGAACTTAATTTTTAATTGATTTTGATCTAATGATTTTAAGTTTTAAATTTGAATAAATTGTGTGTGTGTGCGTGTGCGTGTGTGTGGTAGTAAACGTCACACTACTGCTAATGATTTTAAGTTTTAAATTTGAATAAATTG